TAAGATCTTCTATCACAATAGATTCAATTATTGTCCGTATAGATTTATGCTACTTTCTAAAGATAAAATAGTGTCTACCATCTAACTTATACAATAATACAATAACGATAGATATGACATTTTTGTAATAAACATTAAACCGTCAAATCAAAATTAATTATATTTTTCCACGGAAATTTGTCTTCCACTGTATGCACTTCCAGAAGAAAACTGCATATTGTAAAAACAATTTTTCATGGTAAAATATAATTAACTTTAATCTGACAGTTTAATGCCTATTCCAAAAACCCCACACCTATATCATTGTATTATTAGAAACAATAAATCGACGCATCTATTACCAGAACGAAATCTATTTCGTTGAAAGAAATTTGAATCGAGCTCATGACTAGATCATGCTTTATGAAACGAGCTGTACATTTGGCCGCGAAACGGCTCTACAGTAGAGCAGCAGAGCGCAGCTTAAGCATGGATCGAAGTTTGCCGAGTGGCACTCTAACGCCTTGATAGCGCAAACATTATTTTTATCAATCCCAGCCGTTGTACAATCAGTTTCAAAGCAAACCCTCGAACCGACGATGCATCGTACCGATTAAAGCGAACGTTAAAAAGTATCGAGCGCCGAGGCGAGCAAATGAACGTGGCCCCTCCCTCCCCTCCCGTCGACAAAATATTGTCCCATCGAACTTTACACCGCAAATATTTGTCGCGACCGGGGAGGAGAAGCCAACTTTCTGTACACGTGCCGGGGCCAAGCTTTTCGCCAGCGTACCGGGCCGCTACGGATACCTTCAGAAATTTATTCCGGAAATGGAGCCTGTCCGAGGACTTTACACCCCTAATGGCGGCGCTTAATCTCTTTTCGCGAAATTCTTCCTCTGAAATGGGCCCACGGGGACCTATCCCCATCATTTTGTGCCCGCGCACGCTGCTGTTCGAGAGCGTGCACTCTCAAAGAACATTATTGTTGTTATTATTCAGGCGATATCTCATTGCTCGGTTGCATTGTTTCTATTTTATTAGAATAATTCCTGAGAGTTTTAACAGGTTCAGCGCCGGCGATCGTCCGCTAAAATTCCCGTAAAATCAAGGCAGTTTAATTCGTTAAGCCGAAACTAGAAAGTTACAATTTATCGTAGTGGATGACATTAGAACTCTATCGCATACGAAACATCCTAGTCAAATTCAGTTTGTTCGAGTATATTACAATGGAAATGAATGTTCAAAATTGGCCAAAAATTAGTGTCACTTATATTCGACGAGACGCTCAACGTGTTAAAATAAGAAGATTTCAGTAGTTTATGAAACTACTTGAGAAATGTGCATTGTTTTTGTGTTTCAGTTTAATTTAGCCTAACTGCGACGGATATCTATAAATTATTGAGACAAGGTAAGGTGACCATTGAAACTCTTTGTTTAGAGTTCAATAATCCTTCGAATCGTAGAGATAATTGTAATGTGATGCTTTTGAAAAAGTTTGTGCGAGTATGGCACCTGGGTGAATTTAATAAGTGAGAGTCCTTTGATTAGAGTGTCGTTACGTAATTTGTGGTGGTGTACATTATATGAGTGTCCTATGCACTAAACGATATACATATATTATGCATGTTTTGAAGTGTCAGCTGTGAAGAGTAATCGGATGAGAGAGAACGAGTGAGCCTTGCAGAGGATCGAATTGTATTTATTATTCATCGCTCATATTAATATTTATTTAAACAGTTATATCGCGTTCCAATAATATTGACTAGGTGTTCGCGTATATCGTTTATCGTCCTATTCTATTCACACTTGAGAATTGAATTGAAAAAACAAAGTAACAAGCAAATTTTTATAATTTTAACAAACTGTTAAACGTATATTCTGGTTAAATATATATCCTGTATATTCTGTAATAATCAACTGGTTACGTTAAAATACATTCCGTGAGTCGCTTAACAAGAGCTACTTTCTATTATCTGTCTTTCCAGCAGAATGAGAAATTATAATATCGATTGCAAGTGCATGTTTACCGTAAAAGTTCAAGATCGAATTTAATGAACTCCACTATAACGCGACACGAGATAGAAATCGCACATTTATCATTATATTTATTGTTATATATTCTTGTTCAACAATATTTCCATAATCAAACAATTTATTTATTCCGAAACAGTGCTCCGACTCGAATAGTGTTACATTGTTTTTATTTATTCTTAACGAAATTTGAATATAAACAATATTAGTGAAAACGAACG